GTTTTTCTCACCTGTATTTTTCACCAGTGTTGCCTTTCTGAGATTTGTATATTTGGATGCATGGCCTTCTAATTCATTAACTTCAACTGCTGTGGTACTGATAACAGTTGTATAAATATTTAGTGTTGTATTTGTTGTCCCTTGATGGGCAGCTAGGTTGTTTACTAATTTTCCCTATTCAAAGTGTTGCAGGCGGGGGGGGGGTGTCAATTGGGGAAAAAGGAGATAGAGGTAAAACTTTAAACAACAAAAAAATTTTTTTAAAAAAAGTGCCTAAGAACTGCACTTCTCCTAGGCTGGGCTTTGGACTCACTCATGAGAATGAGACTCAACTGCTCATGGGCTTAAGCTTCAAAGTCACAGAAAAGAGCCTGGACAGGAGTCATCACAGACACTAACGCTTTTTACCCACTCCACTGCCCCCTTGGCTCCTGTACTGTCCTGGAACCCAGTTATTTCTTATAGCTAATACTCTTCTGGAGTTTCTCAACAAATTATAGCATAACTTTGGCTTTGAAGAAGCCTGTCTAAACTCCTTTACTTTATTGAACTCCTGTATTTTTTTTGTTTCATATTATTGCCATTATCAGCCCAGCTCTGATAAGGCAGGGACATGTCAGATAATTGCTGTATCCCAGAGCCAAGCACCAGGTCTGGGGCGCATGCTTGATAAGTATTAGTTGAATGAATACGGAATGAGTGAATGAACAAAATTATAAAGAAGGAATAATAATTTAGTTTTGGGAAAAAGTCAGCGTTATATCAACCTGTGGCTTTTATAGGTTAACTAGAAGCCCGGTGCACGAAATTCGTGCCCTGGAGCGGGGGGGCATGTCCCTCAGCCCAGCTTGCACCCTCTCCAATGTGGGACCCATCAGGTGATGTTCAACTGCTGGTTTAAACCAGCAGTCAGACATCCCTCTCACAATCCGGGACTGCTAACTCCCAAATGCTCGCTTGTCTGCCTGCTTGATTGCCCCTAACCACTTCTGCCTACCAGTCTGATCGTCCTCTAACCACTCCCCTGCCAGCCTGATCAATGCCTAACTGCTCCCCTGCTGGCCTGGTCACCCCCAACTGCCCTCCACTGCCGGCCTGATTGCCCCCAACTGCCCTCCCCTGCCAGCCATCTTGTGGTGGCCATCTTGTGACCATGTGGGGACAGCCATTTTGGGCGAGGGTGTGATGGTCAATTTGCATATTACCTCTTTATTATATAGGATGTTGCTAAGAGCCTTCCTTTATATGGAGGCCGGGCATGCGGGGAGGAGGTAAGCCTCATGGAGAGGGGAGGGAAGAGCAGGAGAGATGGTTTATTTAAGGGTGCATGACAAGTGCTCAGAGCAGAGCAGGAAGGTACTGGAAGAAATGAGGAGTGTGGGGAGTATATTCCCCAGGTTTCTCAGTGCTGCTGGAGGGGGAGACCCTGAGGGACTTGAAGAGCCACTCTCCGGACTGCAGGTAAGGCCACAGCTGCTCTCCAGTGTCCTCAGGCACAGGCACAGGGCTGGGCACAGAGTGCCCCGAGGGCTCCCTCTCACTCCCTCGGTTTACATAAGTGGCGTTGATTTCATTCCAGAGCCCATTTAGAAATGTGGGCCCCAAAGTGACACAGTGGGTTGTTAGGTGAAAAATTAAATCCTACCATCCAAGGTAACATCAAACGTTTATACATGCAAGAGGAAACTATTTTACTCCTTCTTTAGAAATGAAAGTCTACCGTACAGAGCCACGGACTTGAGAAATTTGCCCTCAACCCTCTCCCAAGAACCTCCATGCCCTGAAAGACTGTTTAATATTTCCCTTTCCCCTTTAAAGTCGAAATAGCAATGTTTTTATTGGCACCTTATAAAGTTTTTATATGAGGCATCTAAATCTGCCACAGATACTCATTATAGCTAGAAAAGGTTTCATTATTATTTGTAGGTTGATGCTAATTTTTTAAAATATTTTCACAAAGAAAGTCTTATTAATACTTACAGCTTGTGTTCTTCTAATCTGTGACAAACTGCAAACAGGTAAGGTCTTACCATGTCTAATCCCTACAACGCCTTTCCCTGAGTCACAGGTGGCCTCGCTTCCCACTCAATAACTGGCCCTGGCTGCTTACCGCCCTGCTGACCCTTAGGGAGACCTGATCCACTCCAGCCAGCGATATTTCCAGCATATTTGGGAATTTCTGGCCATGAAGATAGAGATTTTTGGAGACGAAAGATGCAACTTCTGTGCTTCCAAGGAAGCTCTGTAATTATGAGAACTGCGAGGAGGGGGCAGAGCAGGGAAAATGATGAGCCCAAACCAACCTGACAGGCTGCCAAGGGGCGGTGGCCTTAGGGGTTGTGGCTGTCACAGCACGAAGGTGGGGGGCTGTGAGGCCCCGGGTCCAGGACTGACGGAGGCCCAGGGCTTGGGCCGTGCAGGTCTTACCTCGGGGCTGGAGTAGTGGGCGGGCTTGCTGCCCTCGCTCTCGCTGGAGCTGCTCTCGCTCTCGGAGTCGGATCCCGAGCTGCTCTCCGAGTCGCTGGACGAACTGCTGCCGCTGCTGCTGCTGCCGCTGCTGCTGCCCTTGCTGGAGGGCACCGAGGCTCTGCAGCCGGCCTGCTGGACCCCGGCGCTGCCAGCCCACGGCCGGGGGGAAAGGGAAGGAAAGGCAAGTGAGCCAACACGCAGCACCACCGCGCAGCTGCCACTCCACCGAAGGAGCGAGAAGGCGCAGGCGGCACCTTTGTCCACCATCACTTGGCGCTCGAAGAGCAACCGTCAAGGTCACATCCTGCCCGTGAAGTGGTTACATACATGTCGATAAAATTGGGAGTGAGGGCTGGTGCCCTGGGGTTGTCGGGGCCACTCGGAGGGGAAGGCGGTGTGGTTCCGCACGGCTTTCTGTCCTGCCGCGGTTCCTGGGAACGCCTTTTCCAGGGCACCCCCAAACACAACCATCTACTAAGAGGCAAGGAAATCCAAAATGCTTGGAATATTTTGTGCAATTGAAAGTGTCTGTTTGCTTTATTTTAGGACGTGGGCTGTGAGGAAGGGAAGTGTTCTGCTCTGTCCTTCCCTGGCCTTCTGGAAGGTTCCGTAGACCGCGGCCCGGCGGTTACATAACCCTGCGCCCCACCTCTTCCCGCCCTCAGACTCGAGCGCTGTCGTCTTCCCAGGACCTGGCTTGCTGAGTAAACAGTCATTTTCCTCTGAGACCTTCACTGAAGGACTGGAGATCCATCACTTACATGGCTTTATATATTCCAGACCCCAGGAGAGCGGCTGCCTTAGAGCAATAACATTTCAAAGCATACTTCATGTTCACATTTCATGCTGAAATTCCCCAGCAAGTTATGTATGCAAATTATATATTCAGACAGAATAGGAAAAATGGACATTTTCTAATGGTAATGAATTCACCACAAAAATTCAAGTAACACACAGCCACCCAAAAAGTGTTTGAGGCAAGAATAAAGTTTTTGGTACTCCCATAATATTCAACATTTTCGAAGTCTGTATTAATTAAAACACATCTAAATCTGTTCTTTTGAGGTCGAAAGCTAAACCCAGAAAGGCAGTGACCACGCTCTCATGTGACGGCAACCAATACCTGCTTGCCCCTTCCCACTGTGACCACGGACCATGAGCACAGGCTGGGCGCCAGGGCTTGGCAAGGGCTGCTAGGGTCTCAGTGCAGTTCAGTCTGGACAAGGTGAGGGACCATTTTCACCGGCCCCTTCCCCTCTGACAAATGCCCTGCCTGGGACGGAATCGCATGAATCCTCAGTGTGGGGCGTGGGGGTGGGGTGAAGGGGTTATTACTCATTGGAACCCGCTTCCAGAAGCATGACAAGACAAACACCGTCTTGCAGGATAGACCTGAAAATAAAAGCAATTTGTGAACTGCAGGCCAAGGAAAGAGCGCGCTGGAACATAACCTTGCCTAGAGGTTTTCCTTTCTCCCACAGTGTCACGGCCCACACCCACGGCTGGCAAACCCTTCAACACCAGGCGGCAGGGATTTCTTGTGCAGCCTCTCGCTTGCGTCTGGTGCTGAGCGAGAAGCCCTGGCTCTTTAGAAGGGAGGTGAGTGATCAAAGGCTGCAAAATGGCTTTCTTCCCTATGAACGAAAACCCATCTTTCCTGCTGGCGGAGCTGAGATGGCTCCTATCAATAAAGTCATTACAAAGGAGATTATCAGTCTCTGACACAACACGAACACCTGAGATCCACGTTAATCGTTAGTCAGGGGGCCCCCAAACCACCGGGGTGGGGAAACTCCCAAACACAAACCGACACCCCCCACTAATAAAGCCAAACCAAACCCAAAAAGCCCCAAAGCGAAGCCACACATGGCGGAGGGAAGAGATAGTGTCCCGCCCCACTCTGGATGCCCTTTTCTGCAGACTGGGAAACTGAGATGAATGAGGAGCACGTTGGGTGGTTTCATGTGATGGCCAAGGGCTTGGATCCCGGACGAGTACGTCCTACCTGCTCCAGTTCCCACAACAAAGAGCATGTGATGCGGGCTGGTGTGTGGAGTCCCGGGGGCTTGCACCACAACGCGACTTCTTAATTTCTGGGAACTGTCCACTGAGCGGCCCATGCCACCCCCTCTGCGAGGCTGCCCTGCAGGATGAGACCGCAGCCCAATGAGACAGAGCCTCTGGTCCCTCAGGACGGCGGTCAGCCTTACGTGTTCACGTTTTCCTTCCTCAGATTGGGAATTCCCTGACAAGGGCAGTTTTACTGCATAACGATTGTTTGTTTTTAAAACAGTGGGAGAGCCAAGAATTTTAGGTCTCTCTTCATGCTTTGCTCCATGGGCTGAGGCTCATGTGGCTGTGGGTCAGGACAGGAGATATTTGTGGTTCAGGGTCCGAGCAGAGAGTGTGTCGCCAGGAAGAATCATGTTAAGGGTGGGAGCCTGGAGAGTTCTGTGCCCCGATCTGGGACCAAGGAACTGCCCGCATCCACCTGGGGACAGCTGGCCGGGCTGACCGCAGCGGCACCGCTCCCGCCTCAGCACACGGCGCTGCTGCGGAGGGAGGTGGCAGTAAAGACCAGGAGCCGGATGCGGTCCCCACTGCAGACGAGGACTTATAAAAGGGCTCTTTGGAGACACGGAATGAAGAAGATGGGAGAAGACGTATTGGAAAGACTTCCCGAAGGAAGACGGGGCTGTATACAGTTAACGTTTTAGTGTGACAACAGGTCTCATGCTTTTGTACCGGAGATACTAAAAAATTAATTTAAACATTTAACTTTTTCCTGAAACAATAGCATAGAATAGTTAACATGATGACACGGTCTTGGTCCCTTTGCCATACCAGGAACATGGTGCGGCTGAGTCTGCAGACACGAAAACATTGATGAGGTCATGGAATAAATCTGTCGCCCAGCTTGGCATCATACCTGGGACACAGTAGGTGCTCACATGTGATCACTGAGTAAAAAAATCAATAGAAAAAAATCCATCATTGGTTTAATGAGGGTTTTTTTAAAAAGCATTTAACCTTTCAAAAAGGTTACAATTTCTCTTTTCCAATAGAAGAATATTTAAGGGGATTTCAGCACCTCTGTGCTCTCCCAATTTTAACACTTTTTCCTTTCAGTGACTATTTCTTTAAATGTACTCTAAATTTCATATGCTATGATTTAGCCCAGTTCTCTCTCGGGTGGTTATTTAATTTTTGTATTTAATTTTGTGGAACGTCTTGCTGGTTTTGTTCGTGGTCAGGACCCAATGCCCCCTGGAGAGTCCTGGCTTTATTCTAATGACCGGCTTGCTGTGCCCCTTCCTTTGGCTGCAGTGACACATCCCTGCAGAAGCTGGCCTGGGCCAAGTCTGAACGCAGACAGTAACAGAAAAGATCCGGAACCCAAGCGACAAATCCCGTTCTCGCAGTCCAGGGTGTCCTACCTGCCAAGGGTAGTGTGGGGCCTGGATAAGTACCCACGGCATCCACATGCTTTCAACTAACAAGCGCCGGGGGCAGGCCCCCTGCCGGCCAGCACTGTGGGCGCCCAGGGCCCTGGCCGAATGATACGACAGAGAAGGGCGGTGCCCCTTTTCACTCAGCACTCAGTGTGAATCAACCAATGCATGATTTCCAAACTGTCATCAGTCCCCTGGCAACAGGATCCTTATAGAAAGCACCTTTACTAGTATTGCTATTACTTGATCTAAAACTATAACCAATGATGAGACATGAAAATGGTAAAAGCTGGCGCAAGGGGGTTCGGACCGCTGGAGTTATCTTCCAAAAGACAACACTGACAGGACCGTGGACTGATGTATTTTTGTTGGTTCTGCATTATCGCCAGGAACAGCTCTGCTAACACATGGCTTCCCGGTTTCGGCACTTCTATCACTTTGACAGTGTGTGTCAGTTTCTGGCTGCGTGCCTTTGCCGCGCCGTCTCCGCCAGAAGGAAGCCCTTTCTCCTCCGCTTGCCCTGCAGGCCCTCTCAGGGCCGAGCTGCAAGGTCCCTGTTCTGCACAGGTTTCCCGATCCCCAGGCATGGCAGCTGTTCCCTCGCCCGATCCCTGAAGCACACCGCGCATTTCTCTGCTATTATCCTTGTATCCCCAACGCTGGCAGAGGGTCTGACACAAATAGATTCTCAACTAATGTTGATTGACTTAATAAAATAACGACTCCTGACACAGTGTGTAAAACTGATTCCCAATACAATGTATTTTGTTAGACTACGAAGTAGCCCAGGAGATGTTGGCATATATGTATTTTCTCTGTTGCTCTGGGGCTGCGTAGGATTTCATAAAACTGGTATCTTTAGAAAGCTACCATCTGTATTATTGGTTACAAATAGAAAACCTACAGAGGCAAGGCGAGTAGCATAAGTGACTAATTGTACAAATGTAAGGAAAACAAATGTGTAACCTGTGATGCTAAATGACAGACCCGTGGCTCCCTCGTGGGCAAGGTGTCGACCTGGAGCCCAGACAGCTCCTCAGGCCAGCCTCACTCTGCCAGGTGGAAATGGGAGCCCGGTGTTACCAAATCCTTTGATTTTCCAGAGAAAGCCCAAATCCCAAGGTTTATTTCAAGTCTCCTGATTTTAAAATGCTAGCACCTAATTCGAAAAGTTCTGACAATGAAAAGTTCCATTGTATGTCAGCAGTGAGACGCATCTGTGGTCAGTGGAGGCCTGTGAGCGCCAGTCGGAGACCCTGCCCCATGTCCTGTTATCACACATTTTGAAGGCCTCAGACGGTTCCTCGTAAAAGAATGAACAAAAAAGACCACGGCTAGGAGTTTTACTCTCTCAGGATTTAGGTGAGCAGGGCCAACAAGAGGCTAAACAGATACAATGGCTCTCTCAGTCCACTTACCTCAAAGTTTTTAAGATTTTGAAATAATGACTGATTCACCAGAAGTTGCAAAAATAGTAGGGATGTCTCATGTACCCCTCACTCAGTGTCTCTCATGGCCTCATCTCATATAATTACAGAACAATGCCACCACCAGAAAACTGACAATGGAACAGTGTGCGTATGGTTCTATGACATTTCATCACGTGTAGACTCACGTAGCTACCCCCACAATTAAAACATAGAACTGTCCCGTCATACAGGAGCTCCTCATGCTAATCCTCCAGAGTCAAACC